GTAGGAAGTAGGAAGTAGGAAGTAGTAAGTAGTAAGTAGTAAGTAGTAAGTAGTAAGTAGTAAGTAGTAAGTAGTAAGTAGTAAGTAGTAAGTAGTAAGTAGTAAGTAGTAAGTAGTAAGTAGTAAGTAGTAAGTAGTAAGTAGTAAGTAGTAAGTAGTAAGCAAGGTTGAAAACGATGAGAAGCAAAGCAAATAAGCGCAGACTGTCATGTGTACAGCGAAGCTGTATTGGCCATGCTTAGCCCTTTTGGATATTTTATTGCAGCAATGACGGGTTGCACGAGAGCGCTAAATGACGGTTGGTTTGCACAGCTGTGGCAAAGATTTTTGGATTTTGTGCTTTACTTTCATGTGACCTGCCGGCACCTGTTGCCCAAACCCCATTAAGGCGAAATAATACATCGTTCACGTTCAGCCATGCAGAAACTCCATGCAAACATGTGCGAACCGTAATAATAGTATTAATATTTGTAGTAATAATCAGATTAGTAATAGTAGTAAGAATAAGCGCAATAATAATACTAGTAATCGAAAATATGCTAAGCATAGCAATGCCCGAAGTCCCAAGAACTGGTCTCCATGCCGTGTCTTTGACAATGCATGCAGTGTTCCTCGGGGAAGTTTTGGCCACACGACTTAGCACTTCTCCGCACAACCCGCACGGGCGGTTCTGGGAGCCCAGGTGTAAGGAGCAAAGCCACAGCGATGGTCACACTGCATGGACAGATTGCCCGTTTGCCCATGTGTTGCTATGTGAAACTTAGTTGCTTGTAAACAGGATGTGGTTTTTTGCAGATCGAACGGGCACATCCACAGTGTTGGCCGCCGTCAGCAACGAAGTTGGCAGCTAGCACGAGGCTGTTGTCGCGCCGGTCGTGCTTCAGGTTTGGTCAGGCATTGTAGAGCTGTGAGCTGTGTGAGGCGTGACAAGCATTATTCTTACAGCCCATGCGTGCGAGTGGATTTGGCTGATGCGGTATGGCCATGCATTGAACACGGGCACGCACGGGTTCTGAAAGTTGTGCTTGCCACCCTTTCCTAAACGGTTTTGCAACACCTGACCCTCATTGAGGCAAGACCACGCACCGGGACCTCTCAAATGCGGGAGGTTGCAGGAGGCGATGGCATGGAAGCTCGGCCCCTGCCGTGTTGCTTCTGTTGCTTCAGGTCAGGGCACTGCTTAGCTGATCGTGCAAGGAGTGGCAGGCACCAATTTAAAGGAAGCATGTGTGCGAGTGGATGTGGCCGATGCGATGTGGCCATGTGTTGTGAGCGGCAGCTATGCTCCACTAATACCTTGGCATGCCGCAACCTCCCCATCTGGTAGCCCCACGGGCCCCTAGGCCCTTTCCGTGCTGCTTCAGGTCGGGTCAGTGTTTAGCTGATCATGACAGGAGCGGCAAACACCATTTAAACAGGCCGTGCATGCAAATGGATTTGGCCGGGGTGATGGTCATGTGTTGTGCCATGTGTGCTTGCCCTACAACTTCGACAGAGCTTGTACCGGCGCCAGGAGCAGCTTCACATCAACCGTCGCCATGCAAGACGTTGCAAGATTGCATGTCAGCAGCAGCTAAATTTAGTCTTTCTCAGCTTCGAGATCGACACGTTGCTGGACCTTCTCTGCTGGGCTCAACAGGTCCGTGGCTTGACATAAACATGTTGCATGCGGCACCTTTGATTGTTGCTGCTTCCACGTCATGGTTCCACACCGGGCTCTGCACAAATATTACTGCTCACTTCTGCCTGATCAAACTAAGCATGAAAAGACACTCCTGCGGCCACGCGTCATCTCACCAACCCGCGAGGTTTTCAATTTCTCAGAGCAGCTGGGTCGCCCGCCCATACCGGCCCCAGCGGTGCTGATGGCAGCCGATCATGGCGGCTAGCTGGCAGATCTAGCAGCCAGCCGCCTCCTTGTCAGCAAGCGTTCCAAGCTCGAGTGTGCCCTTGTGGAGGAGAACTCCTCCTCCGAATCTGGTGGCTACCAGTCCTTTTCTCTTTCAAGACAAACCGCAAGCCCGCCCCCCTAAGATTTTGGAAGAAGCTCGTGCGCCAAAAGACAAATCGCAAGCCCCGCCCCCCTAAGGTTTCGGAAGAACTGCCTGCTTTTGCTTGGGCTGAAGAAGCACACTTCTCATGTCCGTTTGGGGCAGTTCGCAAGATGGCGAAGTCTTTGTCTGGGCCGCGTGGCAGGTGTAGGAGGGACCAAAGGTCTTTATGAGCTAGGTTGATTGTTCTGGCTGCAGCAGCCCTCCAGAACGCTTACGTTAATGGATCTGTTTAGTGGACTGACCGGTTATGCTGACATTGCTCCGACGGTTGTTCGGAGTTGTTGCTCAACGTGGTTCCTGAGAACCTGCTGACAGATCCTGAGATGAGAGTGTACCACTGGCCAGCAGTTTTCAGTAGCCAAAGGTGTCAAATGCCGATATCTGAGACGTTGATGCAGAAGACCTGCCCCTTGGTGAAATTCGACTTGGGACGCAAGGTGCAATCTTGCCTTCTTCTCTGAAAACAGAGAGCTGGGAGTTGAGGTCGCTGTGGCTCCCAGCTGTCTCTAACCGTAGATTGCGCCAGAGCAATTCGTCCCACCGTGGGTTTGGGTTGCGAAATTTGTTTTGGGAGAAAATGGTCTCAGGTTGATACTGCAGATTGCTAGGCAGGCATGTCCTGGCTCAATCCTTGGATCCCGGAAGAGAAATCTCGACCTATGCGTGCAGTGCAGACAGAGGTCGAGAAGCTTCCTGCCATGGCCTCCATGTGCGCCCCTTCCATGAGCTTCTGTTCCGCCCGGCCTCGTTCCGGAGATATCCTAAGATGTCCTAAACATTCCTGTCAAAGCCGCTTATCACCAGTCTCGCTGAGTCTCGCTGCCACCCCTGGGAATTTGAGGACTCCCCCCTGACTCTGCTTTCGCAGTTTGGGCTGGGAGGTCTGAGCATCTCGAGCCCTTCCGGGTAGCCGGGGCCGAGGTCATGTCTTCTGGGAAAGAATTGGCGACGTGTAGCCCGAAGACTTCCAGCAAGCAGAAGTTAAAGCCTAGTCGACCTGTGTAAGATCGAAGTTGGTTGGCATTGGTGAGCTTGCGCGTGTCACAAGATGTCACAGGACATGTGCAAGAGCGCCCCGCATGCCCACGCCGTTCGCACCACAGTCTTAGATCAGCGCAAATCTGTTGTGGCGAAGTTCTTGTTTCTGCGCTCCTCTGCTTCTCCTCTGCTTCAAAATCATGTAGCACACAAGCTCCTCGAAGCTTGTGGGAACTGCGACTCTTTCCTGCAAGGCTCTGCACTAGCACGAGACTTACTGGCTCCTCTCAGGCGCTGCTCACCGGCTCCTCCTCTGTGACAAGGTTTAGGGTTTAGGGTTTCGGGTTTAGGGTTTAGGGTTTAGGGTTTAGGGTCAAGTCTGGGAACAGGGGCCTCTGAAACCCATCTCTTCAGATTCCTAGCCCCGGAGCCATGTTTTCCACACTGGGGGGTTGGGTCGGCCTCCGCGGTATTGCTTCGACATTTCACGACCAGATCATTTGACATGCCTGCCTCGCTTCTGGGATGTCCTGTTTGCCACTTTAGGGTCCCTTTTTGGAATCCCTTTTTAAAGGGTGCCGCCTTATAATGGGTACCCAAAAAGGGGCCCTAATTCAGGAAACTACCCACATGTTACTTGACGCGTTCTAGTCACTTCTTTGACGCTTCCAAATGCCCAGAGTGATCTCTCTAATTTGGGTATGCCTCAAAATAAGGGTCTCCTACGTTCCCCTTATGCCCCTAAAGGCCCCAAAATAGTAGGAGCCCTCATTTTTCAGACCCCTTAGAAGGGGCACTTAATTTCGAGAAACGCCATGTGTTCCTTGGCGGGCAGGGGTTTCTAGTCCCTAGCGTGTGCGGTTTCTAGTCCCTAGCGTGTGCGCAGCAGAAACGGATATAGAGTGGGCAACACGGGGGCTCTTGCTCATTGGTTGGCCTGTTTGACATGCAAGGTTTGCCACAGCAGGAACTTCTAAAGTGAGGCCGCCGGCGGTCTGTGGCAGTCCTCCAATAGGTTGTTCTTGTGCGCTGGTCTCACACGATAAAGAGACACCTTTGTCATTGCTGCCGGCGACGTCACAGTCACCACATACAGACTAACAAGGGCCACCTCAAAGTGCATTGTTTCGGGCGGTCCCGTACGAGGTCAAACACACATTGGTTGTGGATAGCTTCTGACTTTCACCTTCATGGGTTATCTACGCTGATCGACCGAACGAACAATATCTTTGTTGCGGCCGACACAGTAGCCACGTACGTGTCGTCCCCTCGGAGTGCGTTATTTAGGTTCCACAGCATCACAAAGTGCTGTCCACAACCACGGCATACCCTAGGCTCCATCTTCGCGAGTTGTCACGCACACATTGACATAGGGGCAAGGCCTACACTCAGCAAGAACCCATGGAAAACAGCACGAAACAGGCACACCTGGGGACCTGCTGGCCGGGCAAACTGAAAATTTTCGAACGCAGACAAGAACAAAATATCTAGATCAATCATAACTTGATCCATCTGCCTGCGCACAGAGGCAAGACCTTGAGGGTTTTGGGGTTTGGGGTTTAGGGTTTGGGGGGGGAAGGGTTAAGGGTTCAGGGTTTGGGGGTATATTTGTGGGTAGTGCCAGTAGCCATGAAGCAACGCATGTGATGTCTACGCCGAGGGGCCCAGAACGTATGTGGGACGTCGGTTGTAGGCGCGACCAAGGCGTCTCTACTTAATTCTGTCGATCAGCGCAGGTAGCTGTGAAGAGTCAACAAATTTAATGTTTGTCTCAGCCAATCTTCGCATAGCCTCAGCAGGAACATCTCTAAACGGTGTACTCCAAGAGGGGGTGCACGCATGTGGTGATTGTGATGTCTTTCGTTCTGTCATTTCGTCAATCCGTGCAGGAAGCCGCGAGGCAACAAACTTGACGTCCTTCGCAGCCAATGTGTGCATGAAATCTTCATTTTCATTTACATTCGCACAATGTCCACTTCTGACAGCACCGCGCATGTCCACGGTCTCTGTGTGCAAGACAATGAGCACCATCTTGTGGGGATGAGTGAGAAGCTGCCGTCTCAGCTTGCCGAGTCATGTGAGGGGCCCTTCTTTCTGTGCGCTATTTTTGGCACTGGCTGGGGCGCCGCCACGACACTTTTGGCGGGAGCCGCAGGGTCGACAATGGTCGACAAAAAGTTCTTTTGGAAGGCACTAAAAACACCATGTCTCACATACAACAGCGTTGCAACTCTCGACGGCCTTGCGCGCTCGCAAGTGCGAGCAAAACGTGAATACTGATTGAGCCTCTGTTGATTCTTGCATCATGCGATGTAGCGCGTGTCCATGATGCTCGCCAGAGACGGTTGAATGGTGGGAAGGGTCGAAATGCGTGCCGCTGCCATACTCCACAGCATGCATCTTCCGCAGGCCAGCAGTGGCGTTTCTGATGCTGGCGGTTGCCTTCATGGAGGATGTACTCTAGAAGGACAGCGTATTCATGTTCTCCACCATCGACGATGCCGATCTTGAGCCGTCACATGCAGGTTTCGTCATCCGTATGCAAGTACACGGCAAGTCCGCTTTTCGGGCGATTTATGCCCCAAAGCTGCCAGATTGTGTACTCCCGTGCCTCCCTGCTCCCCCCGGCCCATGCGTGGGAGTACGCTTTTCGGGCGATTCAAGCGCCAAAACGGCCAGATTGTGTACTCCCATGCCTCCCTGCTCCCCCCGCCCAGTGCGTGGGAGTACGCTTTTCGGGCGATTCAAGCGCCAAAACTGCCAGATTATGTGCTCCCGTGCCTCCCTGCTCCCCCCGGCCCGTGCGTGGGAGTACGCTTTTCGGGCGATTCAAGCGCCAAAACTGCCAGATTGTGTACTCCCGTGCCTCCCTGCTCCCCCCGGCCCGTGCGTGGGAGTACGCTTTTCGGGCGATTCAAGCGCCAAAACTGCCAGATTGTGTACTCCCGTGCCTCCCTGCTCCCCCCGGCCCGTGCGTGGGAGTACGCTTTTCGGGCGATTCAAGCGCCAAAGCTGCCAGATTGTGTACTCCCGTGCCTCCCTCCTCCCCCCGCCCCGTGCGTGGGAGTACGCTTTTCGGGCGATTTCCTTTTAGGGCTTTTTTGGATCCTTGTTCTAGGTCCGGGCGTATCTCTGTCTCCGGATTTCGTGCTTCAGAGCTGTTGCCCTGAGTAAGGTATTCTGAGGTGTCCCACGCGTAGCCAGAGTGATCTGAGGGTCCTTCACCAAGGTTCAGGGTTGAGGGTTTAGGGCTTTGGGTTTAAAGGTCTCTCTGTCGGAACAGCCACTGGGACTGCCCTAAACCCTAAACCCTAAACCCTAAACCCTAAACCCTAAACCCTAAACCCTAAACCCTAAACCCTAAACCCTAAACCCTAAACCCTAAACCCTAAACCCTAAACCCTAAACCCTAAACTGGGACTAGAAGTGTGGAAGTGGTCCTCTGCTGGGAGCCTTGACTTGCTGAGCGTTTCGAATCCATGCGTTTTCGACCCCTGGAACACATGGAGCCATATGTTGTTTCACGGAGGCACGTGGTTTCGGGTTCAGGGTTTAGGGTTCAGGGTTTAGGGGCGCAGTTGCATAATCCCGCCCCTGGGTAGCTGGAATGGGAGTGCGGGCAATCTATCCCTGTGATGGCAAGAACTCCCGGTGCCAGTGCGCGACGATCCCTGGTCATCCTGGAATACTTTCACGGAGTTTTACCAGGCCCGCTTGGTCTGATACCATCCCTCTCTTGTCAAAGTCTTGTCTTTCCGGTTGGCTCTTCTTTAAGCTTCAGCCGGAAGATTTGCCCGGCCAGCAAGTGTACACAACGTATGCCGCACCGACGATCCCGATTTTGAGTTGTAGTCTCATGCAGGGTTCAGCATTGGCCTATGGGTTGTCGGGGCGTCCTTGCAGACTGTCATAGATGCTTTCTCTGGCCTTAGGTGTGCGTGTCCATGTGGTAAGCTCTGAAGTTCGCGCTTCCTACTTATCATCTATGCTTCGCCGCGATGCATGCTGCAGAGATGCCTAGCACCGTTGCTGGCTGATGCAATCGCAGGCATGCGCGGTGAGCTCCACCAAGCTGTGATCGGCCTAGTCCCAGCCCACGCTCTTCCAGGTCTTGCCTCACGAAACAGATGTTTGACGTTCATGTCTGTTGCTATCTGCGTCGGCAAGTTCCGCAGTGTAAAGGTCTGCTTGGCCAGACGGTGCACGCAGCGTAGTAGGTCCCACAAGCAATCTAAAGAATCAAAGGCAAGGTTCAGTATTCGTATCAGGTCATTGAGTTCATGTGGCAAGCATTGAAATTTGCGCTCCAATCTTTCTTCCACATCGGTTCATTCTGCAAGGTTGCAAAGCACCCCTGCTCTCCAGAAAAGCCACGCCTGCCTAACCAGATGCATGAGGGGACATAAGAAAATGTGCAACCACATTAAACCCTAAACTCGCCTAAACTCTAATCCCTAAATCCTAAATCCCTAAACCCAAAACCTTAAACCCTAAGCCCTGCAACGTTGGATACAGCATGGTGGGGCCTTCCTCGCTTGTTTGCCTGCGACCACCCCTTCGCACGCCGGCAGTGACAAAGCGGCACGTGCTGGAAGTATAAACATCGGCTTCCGCTGCATGCATTTAGGGTTTAGGGTTTAGGGTTTAGGGTTTAGGGTTGAGGGTTTAGGGTTTAGGGGCCGTCGCCTTTGCGGTTCTGAGGTTGGACATCGGGGGTTCCAGGTTCCAGCGCGCGTTTTGCCCGTTTTGATGCGGATGCCCAGGCCGAAATCCCATGTAATGCGGAGCGCGACCTGACAGATGCATGTCCCTACACTGCAGGTTCACAGAGAAGAAATCTTTGCATGTTAGTACACAAAGGATTCGTGTAGGTTCGGCCCAGGGCAGCATGCCCCCGCTGCTTAGGCGGACTTGCATGTCTGGGGTTAACCGTAACCAGTAAAACCCTTACCCTAAACCCTAAACTTCAGCCAAGAAAGCGGTGTGCGTGGATCATGGTGCAGATGTGGAAGCATTCCTTGAGCCTGAGGAGCCCTCCACAGTGCGTCAGCCGGTCGGCATACCAGGATTCATTCGTGTTTGAGCCACAAACGCTAAACCCGAACCCTAAACCTTAAATTCTGAACCCTAAGCAAGTCCTCTTGCACTTTCCTCCTGCGTTTTTTGACGCTGCCCATGAGTATCCTTAAGTGGAGCATATGAAGCCGTGAGGACTTGTGGACCGTTGGCTTGCGGAAGCCGGGTGGCGTCAAGACCGAAGGTCGCTGCAGGATCTGAGGCTTCGGGGCTTACCCTAAACCCTAAACCCTAAACCCTAGACCCTAAACCGTAAACCCTAAACCCTAAACCCTAGGGTAGTGCGGCTCGGGCAGTTGTCTTGTCGCACAGTTGTGTAGATGAGGACGTGAAGTCCTTTGCAGAGGTGTAGACTTCAAAACCCTGCGAAGATTGCTTAATGGCAAGAGTCATGGCTGCTTCTTCCACAGCACAGGGGTGCCTTCGCATGTCCCCGGACACGACATCAAGGGCGCTGCCAAGTGGCCGTAAGGTTTGGCAGGACGTTGAAGCCCAGTTCAGCAGCAACTTTAGCATTGGCTTCAGCCCTATACCAAACACTTGCCAATGTCAATATCACGTATGCTGCCCCGGCAAATACCCTGCCACATTTTGAAAATGAGATGCGATGTCAAATTTTGTAGAACTGCGCACAGGTGGTCAGACACACCCATCTTTCCTCTCCATAAGCAAACCCTAGCGGTGCCGTCCGCGCCACGTGCCAGTCAGCATCCTCCTTGTTCCGCTCGGGATTCTTGTGACTCGGCAATCCTTGTCCCAGTGATTTTCAGCTCCCAATCATGGCAACTTATCCGAGTCACCCCAGTCGTGGCCACCTCATGAAGACGGGGCCCCAGAGCCGCGAAGCAAGGAATTCCTGGTTTGCTTTGCAGACTCAGCTTTCTTTGTGATGTTTTCAGCTTCTCAGATGCAGCGGAGCCATCACAATCGCAGAGAAGGCACCGAGCGGCAAGGCCTACTACTACTGTTGTGCTCCAGGCCGCTTGTCGAAAAAAGGAGGTGCTCGCGGCCAGCGACGTGCTCGAGTATATTCTATCTTACTACACTATACTATACTATACTATACTATCCTATAGTATGCTATATTATGCTATACTCTACTATATACTATAGTAGATGGCCAGGTTGTCTGTTCTGTTAGGCTGTGCGGTTGGGCCCGCTGGCAGGGACGAGTAGTCACATTTAAAGTGTTTCTCTCATGTGAGTATGCCTGTCATATATTGTTTATACATATATATATATATTGTTCCTTGGACTTAACATTTTCTAGTATCATTGTGTTACTGCTTATGCTCACCGCTAGTTAACATTGATGTGTGTGAAGTGCAGTAACCTGACTATGGATCAGACTTTGCACAGCGAAACATGAAGGTGGGTGGTTGATATTGATCCTTTTACTTCCGAACTTTTTATAGACTCTACGTGTCAGTGTCTCACCAATTTCGTACTTATCTTTCTTGCTCAGGTTCTTGCATATCTGATTGGACACATACAGACACCTCATGTTCGTATATGCCATGTTGCTATGAGGTTGTGTTACGTCATTTGTTGTTTTAAAGTATTTCCTTACGAAGTCTAAGTGGAATCTTCTGTAGCTCATACAAATGATTCTAATATTTTTCTGTTCTCATTTGCTTTAGGGTCGTCTTTAGCGCCTAATCTCTTAAACATGGTAAATAAATATATTTTATTTTAATTTTCCATTCATCTGCATATTCATCTGGTTTCCTTGTGCTAGTTAAGTCATCTGTGGGCGGTAACTGTTTTGTCTCACCAGCTCCCATAACCCAAAATTGTTTTTTAGGATTCTTATTGACAAATTCCCGTATCCTATACAGCATGTGTAAGCCATTCATAAAATCTCATCGAAAACCACTACATTGCAGTCGCTATGGTCCAACTCCGGCAAGTTCTCACCGTCTCCAACTGGCACTGAAAAAAAAATATCGAACCTCGAACCCCACACCAAAGGCCCCCGACCCTAAACCCTGAGCCGTGAACCTTAGACCCGAAGCCTTCGATCCCAGGGTTCCTCTACTTTTAGACATGTCTTAAGACACCGCAGGATCTCAGGGTTTAAGATGCAAGATCCTAAGCTCAGGAGCTCATGTCTGCCGGTCTGCAGTACAGGACCTGTAGGGTTGGGAGGGCTCCGGGCGATGAGGCGCGAAAGTTCCGCAGCAGTAAATGATGTTATTGCCATG